GACAATAGGAATAAATAAACTGGTAGGACCCCACTAATAATGATTTAATTATCTGCTTACAATAGCAATCCTAAAGAAATGTTCATCTTTTTAGTCTATGCAAACCACTACAGTGAACAGCATTTTCATTATGTCAATTATAATTCACACAGAAATGTTATAACGATAACGATGCAAATTTATAATCACAGTGATTAATTTAACAAATGTAGGCAGCAGAGCTTTATATGACAATTTCTAAGTTCTAAGTAGGGGGAGGGCTGTTCTTTTCCATTAGTTCCTATCCACACAGCACTGTGCATCAATTTAAATTCATGAGCTCCTGATCAACAAAAGCCTGAGTTATCCAGGCAGTGAGTGAGAAGAGATGCTAAAAATCTAAAGACTAAAGAAAATGTCATTTACCTGGAACGTCATCATCTTCCTCATCAATGTCATCTGGTTTTGGTGCTTTGCTATCCAGGACTACAAAAAGTTTATTTTCATATTAGTCATTGATAACAAAGACCTTTAAGAGAACATTTAAAATGTTTATCCTTTTTCTGTCTAAATTTCCTACATTTGCTCAAAACTAAATATTATCAATCTAAATTGCCAATCATACTTTTTTGCTTAAGTAACAATACAATCAGTAAAACTTTGTAACTTTTAAATTTTTATTTATTTCTATATTTTTAAGGCAAGCATGGAACAAAATTTCTTGAAGGAAACAAAAGATAGGTTTATAGACTAAGAGAAAATACAGGCTTGCAGAGCAAGATACATTTGCTGTATGTAGACAGTGAACAAGTCTCTACTGCCACGACAAAGAAAAGGCCTGGGTCACAGCTGCCCATTCTTTTATACTATCTAGGTCAGGCCTACCTCATGGTTCAGAGATTACCTTGAAACCTCAAAACTTTTTTTTTGTGTGTGAGACAGAGTCTTACTATGTCGCCCTCGGTAGAGTGCCATGGCATCATAGCTCACAGCAACCGTGAACTCTTGGGCTCAAGCGATTCTCTTGCCTCAAGAGAATGGGTCCCAAGTAGGTGGGGACCACAGGTACCCGATGTAGTTGCCATTGTTGTTTGGTAGGCCCAGGCTGGATCCGAACCTGCCAACTCTGTTGTATGTGGCCGGTGCCCTAGCCGCTTGAGCCACAAGCGTCAAGCTAAAACTTCACAACTTTAATTTTGACATATACCAATACAGCTAGACATTTCAAAGTGGAGCAAAAGCAAAATTCACATGCAAAATGGAATAACACATGAATTTGAGGAAAAAGACATTACCGTAAATTTATGGTGGCTATACTCTCCAAATAAAAAATTAATATTCAAGTTTTGTTCCCACTTCTTTTGGTGTAATGAAGTGTGCAGCTAGCCATATAGGCACTGAGATATCTTTTTTTAGGGGCAGTAGCACATATTAGAAATTGGGACTATCTTGAAAATTCAGAACTTATGGTTGTTACGTCTACATATTTGACAAAAAAATCTACAAATTTGACAAAAATGACGTTCTCTGACAATAGTATTTCCTGGTTGTTATTAATTAACAGTGAATATCAAATTAACTGTTTGAACTATGGCCTGCAGATTCATTTTAGGCAATTACCTCTCAACTTACTACATCACTACCAAAATGTTTCTGAATATTCTATGTTATACTACACAATTACTACAGAAACACTCAAAATTGTATGAAACATACAAGTGATTTTATAGAAAGTAAAATAATTACATACAGGCAAATTCACTTTAAGATGGGACATTCATTTGTTCTTTCAGTGACAAGGTCTCACTCTGTTGCTCAGGCTGAAGTGCAGTGATGTGATCACAGCTCACTGCAACCTTGAATCCCTGGGCTTGAGCAATCCTCCTGCCTCAACCTCCTGAGTAGCCAGGACTACAGGTTTATGCCACTACATCTGGCTAATTTAAAAACACTTTTTTTTTTAGAGCTAGGGATCTCAGTATGTTACCCAGAGATCCTCCTGCCTAAAGTGTTGAGATTATAGGCATTAGCCTCTGTGCCTAGCCCATCTTTTAAATTAGGTTTTTTAAGTAAGGTGGGGAGAGAAAGAGGTACAAAATTAAAAGATACCTACCTTGCCGTGGGAACTGTTCAGCTAACTTCCTAAGGCTTGTTAAGCTGTCAGCACCAAGCTGACTTAATATTCCAGGAAGCATTTCTGTAATTGGTTTAGCTTCTGCATGACCGGTAATTGCAAAGGTGTTAGCAGAGAGGGAAGCTTGGACTTTGGGATTGTTGAAATGAATAACTGTCCCATCATCTTTAATCATGTTCACCTGTATGATCACAGAAGGAAAATATACTTTACATACCAGGTACAACTAAAACAGTATCTTTTTTTTTTTGTAGTTTTTGGCCGGGGCTAGGTTTGAACCTGCCACCTCTGGCATATGGGGCCAGCGCCCTACTCCTTTAAGCCACAGGCACCGCCCCTAAAATAGTATCTTTTTAAAAAGCAATTTAGCCAATTATGTTTGTTACTTGGTCAAGATAGTAATTAGCTAAGCAGTGGACATGGATGGAAAAAGACCCCAGTAATAAAGTACAACAGTATATAGATGGCACAAATTATTAGGAAGGTAAAGAAATAGTCATTTTGTGATATAATCTAGATTTTAAATTCAAAGACTTCTAAGAGAAGTTCATGTTCATATTAAAAAAAGAAATTATCAGCCAAGAACTGGCTTCTTAATGAAACTGCCCATTATGATTCAATTCATATTATCAAACAGAATCACTGTAATTACTATTTGGCGGGGTAGCATCTTTCTTGGGGGACTGGCTGTAAAGGGGAAATAATACATAGCAAAAATAACCACTGAGCTTTTTTTGGCCAAAGACACCATCTTCCAGTAATTCACCAAAATGACAAACACAAAAGAAAAGAGGAGAGGCGCCCAATACATGTTCTCTAGGCCTTTTAGAAAACATGGAGTTGTTTCTTTGGCCACATATATGCGAATCTACAAGAAAGGTGATATTGTAGACATCAAAGGAATGGGTACTGCTCAGAAAGGCAGGCCACACAAATGTTACCATGGCAAAACTGGAAGAGTCTACAAGTCACCCAGCATGCTGTTGGCATTGTTGTAAACAAACAAGTTAAGGGCAAGATTCTTGTCAAGAGGATTAATGTTCGTATTGAGCATATCAAGCACTCTAAGAGCCAAGAGAGCTTCCTGAAACATGGGAAAGAAAATGATCAGAAAAAGAAGGAAGCCAAAGAGAAAGGTACCTGGGTTCAACAGAAGCACCAGCCTGCTCCACCCAGAGAAGCCCATTGTGTGAGAACTGACAGAAAGGAGCCTGAGCTCCTGGAACCCATTCCCTATGAATTCATGGCATAATAATCATATTAACATAGCACACAGGAACACCAGTGGACCCATGTTTTTAGGTGCTAGAACCTATTTATTCCCCATGAGCTCATGACATAATAGGTGTACAGCATAGCACACTGGATAACCAATAGACCCCATGTAACAGTGATACAAGGTGCTGGAACCTATTTCCCATGAATTCAAAAGTCAATCAACGCTTTGTCACATTCAATGGCAAGGTTCCAGCATGAGCTACTGGAAACTCTTCCCTATGAATTCATGGCATGGTAGATAAAAATAATAGCTTACTGCTACTGTAAAAATGTTTCTCGTTCATTCACTAAAAGTGTGA